TGACTACGGCATCTCCTTTACCTTGGACCTGCATTGCTACATAGCCGAAGTTTCTTTCCTTTTTGTCGCTAAATGAAGAGCCAAAACTCATCCACTATGTATTTATATATGAACAGTAGGAAATGCTTTATAATGCTCCTCAGTTTTATTGATTCCTGTTGATTATATTACTGTATACCGTAAATAACCCTACTAGAATTTAAATAAAATATTTGGTATTTCAACCTCTGCAATCATCATTTATCGTATGTTACGGTGCATCTAGACAAAAGATTTTAAGAATATGGAACGAAGAATTATAAGATGAAATAACGCCAGAAAATAAAAAAGACAATCTGATAATTTTTTGATATTTTAGAGTAAATTTTTTCTTGTCTCCGACTATGATCTTATTGCTAAGATCAAGGGTTGTCCAGGGTAAGGGCTGTCCAGGGTAAGGTTGGTCCAGAGTAAAGGTTGTCCAGGGTAAGAGCTGTCCAGGGTAACGGTTGTCCAGGGTAAGGGCTGTCCAGGGTAATGGTTGTCCAGGGTAAGGGTTGTCCACAGTAAGAACTGTCCAGGGTAATGGTTGTCCAGGGTAATGGTTGTCCAGGGTAATGGTTGTCCAGGGTAAGGGGTGTCCAGGGTAATGGCTGTCCAGGGTAAGGGTTGTCCAGCTTAAGGGCTGTCCAGGGTAATGTTTGTCCAAGGTAAGAGCTGTCCAATGTAACGGTTGTCCAGGGTAATGGCTGTGCAGGGTAATGGTTGTCCAGGGTAAGGTTTGTCCAGGGTAAGGGTTGTCCATGGTAAGAGCTGTCCAGGGTAATGGTTGTCCAGGGTAAGGGTTGACCAAGGTAATGGCTGTCCAGGGTAAGGTTTGTCCAGGGTAATGTTTGTCCAAGGTAAGAGCTGTCCAATGTAACGGTTGTCCAGGGTAATGGTTTCTCCAAGGTAAGGTTTGTCCAGGGTAAGGGTTGTCCATGGTAATGGCTGTCCATGGTAATGGCTGTCCAGGGTAATGGTTGTCCAGGGTAAGGGTTGACCAGGGTAATGGTTGTCCAGGGTAAGGGTTGTCCAGGGTAAGGGTTGTTCAGGGTAAGGGTTGTCCAGGGTAAGGGTTGTTCAGGGTAAGGGTTTCCTACACTGAACGTTAGGGAGAATGTATTATTCTAATGTCTTACTTCAAATTTAGTCAAATTAAGTGTTTACGTGTGTGTACATTAAATGGCACAGGCAGATGTAAGTCGTTGGTGCACACCACATACATACTCATATACATTACATGTACGCAAGGAAAATCATACGTGTACAGTGCTTGACGGACAGATAATCTACTTTTTCGTTTATTTTTTGTTATAATTATATAGGTCTATTAATTTCTGAAGAATTGTCGTCAATCAGACATTGGTTGATAAACGTTTGACGTGAATAAACTACTTAAAATGAGACAGTATTTTCTAGGGGTGGTGGTCGGTGGGTGGGTAAACCTGAACAAAATTAGCCGGAGACGCTGATCGTAAATTTCTGGAAAGTAATTAATCGGAAAATCGATGAGTCGCAGAGGTAAAAAAATTGAAAGAAAAATTAATTTGAAATCAAGGCTGAAAAAGCATATATACTGATTGTATTTTAGTCAATTTTTAATTGTACATCGGCCTAAACATAGTATTTTGAATAGCTTTTAACAAATCATCATCCTCATCATCATCATCCTCATCATCATCCTCATCGTCATCGTCATCCTCCCCCTCCTCATCATCACCCTCATCATCCTCCTCCTCATCATCATCCTTATCCTCATCCTCCTCATCATCATCATCATCCACCTCATCATCATCATCCTCATCCACCTCCTCATCATCATCCTCATCCACCTCCTCATCATCATCATCATCCACCTCCTCATCATTATCATCATCCTCATCTTCAACATGATCCGCCTCCTCATCATCATCATCAATTGCCTCATCATCATCATCCTCATCCTTGTCATTATCATCATCATCATCCTCATTATCCTCCTCCTCATCATCATCATCCTCATTATCCTCATCCTCCTTCTCATCATCATCATCATCCTCATCATCATCCTTCTCCTCATCATCATCATCATCCTCATCATCAGTCCCCATGAACGCCTGACCAGTTCGCACCACTGACACTTCCCGCCTGTGAAATACTCTTCCGGCTTCTTGCTTTCCTGTCAACTGCAACATTTTAAATGCAACATCAGTCGTCATTTTCTCTCTCCTTTAATTCTGCTCTTTCAATGTCTTCTCTCAAAAAAACGTCTTCTCGGTATCTGTCTATATTTCTAAGATGAAGTATTATGTACACTATTTACATTATTCGGACTATTGTCCTCATCTTTGTCGCCAAATTTATTACAACGTTTCGGTCGTTGTACGCTCCGGCGTTCTTCCGGTGGTTGGAATATCGATAATCCACAGTGGATAAAGGCGTTGGTTAGATCCAGTGACAGGACCCAAAAAGTTGTAAGTTCAATAGCTTGTTAAGGCAGAGGAGAACTTGGAGAGATGAATTAACAGGGGATAACTGATAACTGACATCATGACACGTGGAACTAGAACAGTCTACCCCAGCGAGCTAAATAAAGGGTTCAATTCGACATTCCAACCACCTGAAGAAAGACGGTGCGTACAACAGCCAAAACGTTGTGATAAATATGCCAACAAAGATGAGGACAATATTCCGATTAATGTAAATAGTGAACGTCTTCTCAGTTTCTTTCACTCTCGGTGACCCCTTGCGTCTTAGTGGCTTTATCACCTTGCTTACGTAATTACATCAATTAAAAAAAAGAAAAGAGGGTTTTTCTCTAGGTGTGGTTCCAAAAGAAAACCTTCAATTCCTCCAATTTTGCCTGGAGGTGTTCTGGATATTCTATGTAAGAATCTTCAATTATTCTAATATTGTCTGCACTATTGGTGTTGTAACTTCTACCATTGTGACTCTCTAAATATTTACGAACCTATTAACGACGCAATTATTTTGCTTATGGTGATTTTCTAAGCGTTAGTTTTCGACAGAATACCGAAAATATGTATCACCTTTGGAGGATCAAACTCACTAAGACGTAATTGATCTAACAAGACAAACTTGACAACAATTACACCAGGTCGAGGCTCCCCAAGAATAATTTTCCAAGCGTATCTTAGACGTTGCACAAAGCCGAAAGTGTGGACCACCCAGTGAGAATCGAACTCATTACTCAGTAGTATTTGATATGGCGAGACAAGTTTGCTGACCATTACACTACGTTGAAGTGCTCAACGTTTTTTAATCGTAGCTTAGATGTGGCTCAAGGCAGAAAGTGTAGGGCGCCCAGTAAAAATCAAACTCACTACTCAATCGTAATTGATCTAGCGAGACAAACTTGCTAACCATTACACCACTTTGAGGTACACAAATGATTTTCTAAACATGGCTTAGATGTGACACAAGGTCAGAAGTGTGAAAACGCCCATTGAGGACCGAACTCGCTACTGAGATGTAATTGATCTATCGAGAAAAGTTTGCTAACCATTACAATACGTCGTAGTACCGCATTTTTTTGCTTATGGTTTCATGTGATCCCTACGTGTGTATATATGTGCGTTTATGGGATATATACAATAGTATCTGAAACGAAAGTGGAGACAATGAGACAAAGTAGAAAATAGTGTGTGTTTGTAGGATTAGAATATTGTGTTTGAATGTGGCAATAGAGAAATAAAGAAATAATTACAATACCTCATCTCAGAAATATAGACAGAAATTGAAGGTGAATATGGCAATAAAGAAAAGGATAACAGTCCTAACAATGTAAATAGTGTAAATAATTACAATACCTCATCTCAGAAATATAGACAGATGTTGAAGGTGAATATGGCAATAAAAGAAAAATGGACAACAGTCCTAACAATGTAAATAGGTAAATAATTACAATACCTCATCTCAGAAATATAGACAGATGTTGAAGGTGAATATGGCAACAAAGTTGTGTTCAAGGGAGATAACTAATACTGAGCCATCCGGAAGTAGAACAATAATCCCGGTGGACGAAATAAAGTGTTCAGTCCGAAATTTCAATCACCTGGTGAAGCCAGGAGTGTAGTACAACGGTCGTGAATATGGCAACGAAGATGAGGACAACAGTCCGAACAATGTAAATAGTGAAAATAATTACGATATCTCATCTCAGAAATATAGATATGAAAGAATGAGATTTATATTTTTATATTAGATCGCTTATAAGTACTCAGGCTCTCGTGGCTGAAACAATGGTGTTTCTAAGTCAATGACAGATGATTTCCCCAGTTCGAATCTCAGTATTTGCTTCTTGTGTTTCTTTATTTTGAATCTGTGCTGTCTACTGCTGTAGATCGACGCTCAAACTAATTGCGAGGAAATGAGATTAATATTAAGATGAAAGAAATACTCGTCAAAAATTTTACATTGTCTTAGTATCATTAGCCGTTTCCTTATAAGGAAACATTCAGTTTTTCAGAAAATTAGGTTTCTCAAATCCAGTAGCTGTTATCGTTCTTTCTAGTAATGAAGGGAGTTTCTTTCCTAACCTTTTGTTTAACGAAGTGTGGAACTTCAGTATCCTGATGCTCATTGTTTTCTGATTCGAATTATATGTGCTATCTATTTTAGCTGTTGCTACTCTTACAAAACCTCAAGTGGTGTAATTTCTGTTATTTGGTACAGTTCTTTGTTCGTGATTGTGTAGCGCCAGTCCACAAGTTTCGAAAAAGTGTGATCTTCGTCGAAACCTACAGGCTTTAATTGCTCAAAGCCATTTTTAATTACTGATCTGAGAAAGCGGTTCTATACACAGTTTAGATGTTTCTGAACAGGGTTGGCACTATACATGACATCCATCTGAATGTCTTGATCTGACCAGACTATTTAAGAATATGACATGGCACGTGGAACTAGAACAATAACCCCAAGTGGGCGAAATAAAGGGTTCATTTCGAAATTCCAATCACCTGGAGAAGACCGAAACGTACAATAAAATGATAAAAGAAAGAAAGAAAGAAAGAAAGAAAGATAGTGTGACGGAAAGAAAGGGGGAATGAAATGATAAAAGAAAGAACGTGTACAAAGAAAGAAAGAAAGAAAGAAAGAAAGAAAGAAAGACAAGTACTAGTAGTGAGAAAAAAGGAAAATGAAAAAAGATAAAAACAGAAAGAAAGAAAGAGTGAAAAATAAAAGAAAGAAAGGTAAGTACTATTCAGTGAGAGAGAAAGATGGAAAAAGATAAAGAAAGAAAGAAAAAGAAAGAAAGGACATAGAGTCTGATAAACTGAACTATAAAAAAAATAAGGAAGGAAGGAAGGAAGGACGGGGGGACATGGAGTCTGATAAACTGAACTATAAAAGTGAATAAGGAAGGAAGGAAGGACGGGGGGACATGGAGTCTGATAAACTGAACTATAAAAGTGAAGAAGGAAGGAAGGAAGGAAGGACGGGGGACATGGAGTCTGATAAACTGAATTATAAAAGTGAATGAGAAAGAAAGAAGAATGGAAGGAAGGATGGAAGGAAGGAAGGACATGGAGTCTGATAAACTGAACTATAAAAGTGAATAAGAAAGAAAGAAGAATGGAAGGAAGGAAGGAAGGAAGGAAGGAAGGAAATGGAAGTTTGATAAAGAACTAGTAAAAGTGAATAAGGAAGGAAGGAAGGAAGGAAGGAAGGAAGGAAGGAAAGACGGGGGGACATGGAGTCTGATAAACTGAACTATAAAAGTGAATAAGAAAGAAAGAAGAATGGAAGGAAGGAAGGAAGGAAGGAAGGAAGGAAGGAAGGAAATGGAGTCTGATAAACTGAACTATAAAAGTGAATAAGGAAGGAAGGAAGGAAGGAGAACGGAAGGAAGGAAGGAAGGACGGGGGGACATAGAGTCTGATAAACTGAACTATAAAAGTGAATAAGAAAGAAGGAAGGAAGGAAGGAAGGAAGGACATGGAGTCTGATAAACTGAACTATAAAAGTGAATAAGGAAGGAAGGAAGGACGGGGGGACATGGAGTCTGATAAACTGAACTATAAAAGTGAATAAGAAAGAAAGAAGAATGGAAGGAAGGAAGGAAGGAAGGAAGGAAGGAAGGATGGAAGAAAATGGAGTATGAGTCTGAAGTAAAAGGAAGAAAATGGAAGAAGGAAGGAAGGAAGGAAGGAATTTTGAAAAAGGAACTATAAGAATGGAAAGGAAGGAAATGGAAGGAAGGAAAAAAGAAAAGGAAGGAAGGAAGGAAGGAAGGAAGGACGATAAAACTGAACTATAAAAAGTGAATAAAAAGAAAGAAAAAAAAGGAAGGAAGGAAGGAAGGAAAAAAAGAACTATAAAATATGAAAAGAAAAGGGAAAAAGGAAGAAAGGAGAAATAAACTGAAATATAAAAAGTGAATAAGAAATAACTAAAAAAGAAAGGAAGAAGGAAGGAAGGAAGGATAAACTGAACTAAAATGAAATAAGAAAGAAAAGTGAAAAAGAAAAGAAGGATGGGGGACATGGAAAAAAGGAACTGAACTATAAAAAGTGAATAAAAAAAAGAAAGAAAAAAGGAATGAAGGAAGGAAGGAAGGACAATGGAGTCTGATAAACTGAACTATAAAAAGTGAATAAAGAAGGAAAAAGGAAAAAAGAAAAAAAAGAAAGGAAAGAAGGAAAAGGAAAAGAACTATGGAATAGAAGAAAGAAAAAAAGAAAAAAGAAGGAAGAGTAAAAGTGAATAAGAAAGAGAAAGAAAGAAAAATGGAAAAAAAGAAGGAAGAGGAAGGAAGGAAGGAAGGACATGGAGTCTGAAAAACTGAACTATAAAAGTAAGAAAAAAAGAAAAGGAAGGAAGGAAAAAATGAAGGAAGGAAGGAAAAAGGAATGGAGTCTGATAAACTGAACTATAAAAAGTGAAAATAAAGGAAAGAAAGAAAAAGAAAAAAAAGAAAGGAAAAGAAAAGGAAAAAATAGGAGGAAGGAAAAAAATGGAGTCTGATAAACTGAACTATAAAAGTGAATAAGAAAGAAAGAAAAAAAAGGAAGGAAGGAAGGAAGGACATGGAGTCTGATAAACTGAACTATAAAAGTGAATAAGAAAGAAAGAAGAAGGAAGGAAGGAAGGAAAAGAAATGAGTCTGAAGGGAAGGAAGGAAGGAAGGAAGGAAGGAAGGACATGGAGTCTGATAAACTGAAATATAAAAGTGAATAAGAAAGGAAGGAAGGAAGGAAGGAAGGAAGGAAGGAAGAACATGGAGTCTGATAAACTGAAATATAAAAGTGAAATAAGAAAGAAAGAAGGAAGGAAGGAAGGAAGGAAGGAAGGAAGGAAGAAGGAAATGTGAGTCTGATAAACTGAACTATAAAAAATTAAGAAAGAAAGGAAGAAGAAAGAAAAAGGAAGGAAGGAAGGAAGGAAGGAAATGAGTCTGATAAACTGAACTATAAAAGATAAACTGAACTAAGGAAGAAGGAATGGAGTTTTAAAAACTGAACTAAAAAGGAAGAAGAAAGGAAAGGAAGGAAGGAAAAACATGAATAAAGAAAATGAAGAAAGAAGGAATGGAAGGAAGGAAGGAAGGAAGGAAGGAAGGAAGAAGGAAGGAAGGAAGGAAAGTCTGAAAAAAACTATAAAAAGTGAATAAGAAGGAAGGAAAGAAGGAAGGAAGGAAGGAAGGAAGGAAAGAAAACTGAACTAAAAATAAAAAGAAAGAAAAAAAAAGGAAGGAAGGAAGAAGGAAGTCTGAGAAAGAAAAAAAAGAAAGGAAAGGAAGGAAGGAAGGAAGGAAGGAAGGAAATGGAGTCTGATAAACTGAACTAAGGAAAATAAGAAAGAAAGAAAAGAAAAGAAAGAAAATGAAAAAAAAAACTAAAAAGAAAAGGAAAATAAAGAAAGGAAGGAAGGAAGGAATGAAGTTAGATAAACTGAAAAATAAAAGTGAATAAGAAAGAAAAAAAAGAAGGAAGGAAGGAAGATGAAAAGTCTGAAAAAAAAAATAAATGTGAAAAGAAAGAAAGAAAGGAAAAGAAGGAAGGAAGAAGGACATAGGAGTCTGATAAACTGAAAAAAAAGTGAAAAGAAAAAAAAAAGAAAAAAATGAAGAAAAAGGAAGGAAAAGAAAACTGGAAATAAAAAAAAAGGAAATAAAGGAAGGAAGGAAAGAAAAAAAGGAAGGAAAAAAGAAGGATAAAAAAGAAATATAAAAGAATATTAAACAAAAGAAGAATGAAGAAGGAATAAAGGAAGAAGGAAGGAAAAAAAAGAAAATAAAAAAAAATGAAAAAAAGAAGAATTTGGAAGGAAGGAAGGAAGGAAGGAAGGAAAAAGTCTGATAAACTGAAAAAGTTAATAAGATAAAAGAAGAATGAATAATAGGAAAAAAGTCTGAAAATAAAACTATAAAAAAGAATAAGAAAGGAAGGAAGGAAAGAAGGAAAAGGAAGGAAGGAAGGACATGGAGTCTGATAAACTGAAATATAAAAGTGAATAAGAAAGAAAGAAAGAAAGAAAGAAAGGAAGGAAGGAAGGAAGGAAGGACATGGAGTCTGATAAACTGAACTATAAAAGTGAATAAGAAAGAAAGAAAGAAAAAAGAAGGAAGGAAGGAAGGAAGGAAATAAATAAACTGAACTATAAAAGTGAATAAGGAAGAAAGGAAGGAAGGAAGGAAGGAAGGAAGGAAGGAAAAATGAAGAAAAGAAAAAAAAAAAAGGAAAGGAAAGAAGGAAGGAAGGAAGGAAAAGGAAGGACATGGAGGAAGGAAAAAAAAAAAAGAATGAATAAGAAAGAAAGAAAAAAGGAAAAAGGAAGGAAGGAAGGAAGGAAAAAAAGAAGGAAAAAGGAAAAAGGAATAAGGAATAAAAAAAAAAAATGAAAAGGAAGGAAAGGAAGGAAGGAAGGAAAAAAGGAAAGGAAGGAAGGAAGGAAAAAAGGAAGGAAGGAAAAAGGAGAAAGAAAGAAACATGGAAGGAATAAACTGAAAGATAAAAGAATAAGGAAGAAAGAAGAATGGAAGGAAGGAAGGAAGGAAGGAAGGAAGGAAGGAAGGAAGGAAAAAGGAAGAAAAACTGAAAAAACTAAGAGAAGGAAAAAAAAGGAAAAAAGGAAGGAAGGAAGGAAGGAAGGAAGGAAGAAAGGAAGAAAAAACTGAAGGAAAAAAAGGAATAAAAGGAAAGAAGAAAGAAAGGAAAGAGGAAGGAAGGAAGGAAGGAAGGAAGGAAAAGGAAGGAAAAGGAAAAAAAAAAGAAAATAAAAGAAGAAAGAAGGAAGGAAGGAAGGAAGGAAAAGGAAGAAAGGGGGGCATGGAGTCTGAAGGAAACTGAAAAAGTCCAATAAAAAGAAGGAAGGAAGGAAGGAAGGAAAGAAGGAAGGAAGGAAGGAAGGAAGGATATGGAGTCTGAAAAAAAGAACTATAAAAAAAAGGAAAAGAAAGAAAAGAAGGAAGGAAGGAAGGAAGGAAGGAAAAGAAAATGGAGTCTGAAAGAAAAAAAGAAGGAAGGAAAGAAAAGAAGGAATGGAAGGAAAAGAAGGAAAGGAGTAAAAATGAAAAAATCCAGAAAAAAGAAAAGAAAAATGAAAAGAAGGAAGGAAGGAAGGAAGGAAATGGAGTCTGATAAACTGAACTATAAAAGTGAAAAAGAAAAAAGAAAAAAAGAAGGAAGGAATGGATTCAGAAAGGAAGGAAAGGAAGGAAAGGAAGGAAAGAAAGAAGGAAGGAAGGAAGGAAAATTTGAACTATAAAAGAATAAGAAAGAAAAAAAATTTAAAAAAGGAAGAAAGGAAGGAAGGAAAAGTCTGATAAACCTTGGGAAGGAAGGAAAAAAGGAAGGAAGGAAGGAAGGAAGGAAGGAAGGAAGGAAGGAAGGAAATTTAAAGAAATAAAAGAAAAAAAAAATAAGAAAAGAAAGAAAAAAATGTTTAAAGGAAGGAAGGAAGGAAGGAAGGAAGGAAGGAAGGACATGGAAATTGATAAACTGAAATAAAAAAGAAAATAAGAAAAAGAAGGAAGGAAGGAAGGAAGGAAGGAAGGAAGGAAGGAAGGAAGGAAGAACATGGAGTCTGATAAACTGAAATATAAAAGTGAAATAAGATAGAAACAAACAAAAGAAACAAAGAAACGAAAATCCATAAGGATTTTCGGTTTCAGTAAGTAAAACTTCCTAACACGTAAACACCTCTTAACACCGTACAGAAATTCTCAACAATGTATGTCTCTACCCACCAACTTTAAGGGGCCGGTCGATATCATAATATGAAGTCGATGTAAACAAAATTAATAGCTTTTCCATTTCAATAATTGGTTTAATCAGATCAACCTAGGCGTAAACATACTGAGACATTGAAACGTTGCTTCACCGCCTTGTGTCGGCATCTGGCACAGGTTGCTCTTGTTGGCCCTAGGCGGCAAAGGGCAAGGAACGGTGAAGGTCGGTTTGCGGTGGGGACATTCCTTAAATAACAAGTCAACAAGATGTGGAGGTGTAACAGAGCTCATCCCATAAAGACGTTGCTTCATTAACGTCATAATTTCAACGCAGCGATTTGGTTTCATTTCCCTTATCGTCCCAGGGTCTCAACACAATGTTTTAATTAATTTTGGTAGAACAGACTTTGTTTTAACATTGTATCATATATGAGGTAAGGATATTATAGGTAGTATATATTACCTACGACCCACCAGTGTGTCGTTTGATACCTGAGTCCATTTTACAACCCAGACTACCACACGACCCACACGAATGCATGGTACAGCTCTGTCTATGTAAAAATATAAAAAAAATGACAAAAAATACAACAGTAGAAATTACAAAGGAAAACAAAATAAAATACAAAAAAAATATTCAAATATTTTTGGATGGGTCGTGTAGACCTTGCAGAAATACCACCACGACCTTGCGGCAGGTCGTGTGGGCCTTGCAGAAATACCACCACGACCTTCCGGTGGGTTGTGTGGGCCTTACAAAAATACCACCACGACCTTCCAGTAATGTGGGCTTGCAAGAATAACTTTTAACCTTCCGGTGGGTCTTGTAATCCTTGCAGAAATACCACCATTCCTTCCTTTCATCAAATGTGGGGCTTATAACCACCATACCTTCCAGTAGGTCGTGGGCCTTTTTCAAGAATACCAATTGAAATTCCGGTGGGTCTTGTGGTCCTTGCAGAAATTTAAAAAAATTTTTCCTGTGGGAATGTGTTTTTTTTTTAAAAAAAACCCCCATGACCTTCCGGTGGGCTGTGTGGGCTTTTGTATACATGAAACGACCTTCCGATGGGTCGTGGTTTTGGGTTTGTTTACCAATTACCTTCCGGTGAGTCATTACAATATTGTTTAAGAAATGAAATTCGACCTTCCAGATTGTGTTGTGGGCCTTTCAGATATACCACCTCGACCCTCCGGTGGGTTGTGTGGGCTTTGCATGCATACCACAACGACCCTCTGGTGGGTTGTGTGGGCTTTGCAGACGTACCACAAAAACCCTCTGGTGGGCTGTGTGGGCCCTATAGACATACATACATGTGGGAGTCAACGTGTTAAAAGATTAATATGTAAATGAGTAACAAAAGTTTATACGGTAAGCCCGCCTTTCTTTCGCCTTCATCCAGTCCCTAGTTTTCCGCTTTTCTTCCCGAGTTTCCATAACTTTCTTACTTACCCTATATTTCCCTCACTTTTGTCCCCATAACTTGACCCTTTTCCTTTGCACACTCTTTTCTTTTCACTTTTCTTTTTCTTTCTTACTTTTCCTCTCTTTCGTCTCCAGACCCTTCTCCCTTTGGTTTTTTCCGCTTTTCTTTTCGATTTTCTCTTTCTCTTTCTTACTTACTTTCTATCTTTCACACTTCACATCCTTCCTTCTCCACTTTGCATTTCCAATTTGGCTATTGTGTTAATGAACAGACAGGCAATAAAATTGTCTCTCCTCCTCTCTCTCTCTCTTCTCTCCTCTCTCTTGAAATATATATATATATATATATATATATATATATATATATATATATAAAATAAAACAAAAACTTCAAATTCTGGAGGCCTTATATATATATATATATATATATAGAGAGAGAGAGAGAGAGAGAGTTACAGATTTTCACAAGTGACCCTCTGATACAGTGGCCTAAGAAAAGTTTTTAGCCAGGAGAAATAAACTACATCCATATTCAAAATTTAATTACGTAATCCCTATTCAACATAAACAAATAGTATTTGAAACTAGTAAAGAGTAGATCCTCCATTTGCTAGTTTCAGTACTTGTATTTGATTTTTCATGGATTTGATCACGTTATCAACAATCGTCTGAGTCATACTTTGCTCTTCCTTTAGCAATGTTTCTTTAAGGATTGCCACTGACATGATTTTGGTTGCACGCTCTCGAAGTCTTCGGTCAAGGTGTTTCCAAACGTCCCCTATTAGATTCATGTCAGGACTTTGGGGTTACCCATGGCAGTGACTTGATTCCTTGCGATTCCTTCCAGGCCTTTGCTACTTTGCTCGTATGACATGGCGCTCCATCTACTTGAAAAAAACATTCTTGTCAATTTGATTGGTTTCAAATAGTGGGAGTATTCCTTTCTCTATTCGACAGTATTTTGGACCATTCAACCGCTCGTAAACAAGAATCAGCTCAAATTTCCCTCCAAACCAGACAGCGCCCCACACCATTACTCCAATCCATCCATGTTTCACGGTCGCCTGCAGACATTCAGTGTTCCAAGTCGCGTTCTGATTTCTCCAAACATAAACCAATCTCGAATTAGAGATTGGCAGAATTTACTTTCATCTGACCAAATTACAGACTGCCAAAATTCATAATCTTTGCTCTCGAATTCTCTCGCCCAGTCCATACGAAGTTTCCTGTTAACCACCGAAATCAAGGGCTTCTTTCTTGAAACTCTTCTTTGATAGCTTAGCTCTTTCAAAGCCTTTCCCACATCCCACCGCATATGTCGAAATTTCCATGCTTTTGGCGACATCTTTGATGCTCTGACAACGGTTTCTGATGACTTCCTTATTCAGTGTCCTTTTCATTCACTCAGACACGATGCTTTGTCGTCTTGAACGGATGTTCTCTCTGACACTGCTGGCCACAGTTAGAGTGGTGATTTGGATGGCGCGGATTGAGGAAATATTGCGAAAAAATCGCTATTCTCATCAGGATCTTATCAGATTTTTTCTTATTATTTTAGAACTGATAGAAATTTTAATATATTTTGAACTTCAGTGAAAGGTGGGTAACTAAGTCAACTATCTGTTCCTGGTTCGTGGGGCTAGCCTTGATTTTCTTTTTTTGTTATGACAGGGCGGTTTCTGTAGAGCCCTCCCCTCGTTAAGATACACTCTTCTTATGAGAGTAAAATTGTTCCTGGCCTGTAACAGATTTTATCTTGCTGAAATCCAAGTCGAGATTCCCAAACTACCTAGTTTGTTTTGACCTGCACTTTTCATCTCGTCTGGGTCAGTTTTTTAAATATTTTAATGTTCATAATTTTCCTTTATTCATCCCCCTCCTTTAGAGAGAACTGCCTCTTGATTTTGTCGGAAGACAGAATACAGCGGAAAATCTTATTTTTGAGGGGTGGACGTATTTTGTTAATATCTTTCTTTTTTTCCAGTTTGTTTTCAAGGCCATCACCCCACCCCGATCATTTCATAAAATTGATAGAATTTTTATACAATTGTATCTAAACTATTGAAATTTTAAATCATGGGGTATTTTTCAATAGGGGTCCATGTGTGTGAATATTTTGATGTATGAAAGCGAATGGTGACTGTAGATTCTCATGGTGAAAGAGTAATTTACATTATTTGAATGGGGAGGTGAATCTGATTAGCTAAGTATAAAATATGTCGACCAGCCTTGGCTCATCTCCCCTAACTTTTTCGGCCTTGTGCCACAATTACTGTATTCAATCAAAAAAAAAAAAAATAGACAAGCAACGTTTGTACAAAAATTCTTGTCATATTTTAAAGATTTATATATTTTTATACTTGAAAATTAAAAATATATATATAAATGGAAGAAAACAGACATTTTGTTGAAATATTGTTTAATATTGTCAAACACTGTGTTTTTTCTTTTCTTTTTCTTTTCTTAAATCACGCTCTTCTCTTAACTGTTGAAAATATTGAAAGAGTTACGTCAATCATTTTCTGGCACTTCAGAATGAACCAACCGTCTGATTCAATATAATCGTGCCACTTCAACGTGAGACCAAGAAGGAGCAAAGAATTTAGCATTTTCTGGAGCTTAGCATCAGCCATGCTGACTGAGGCCACAAATGACTCTATGTGGCTTAAAGGATAGCAGTTTCCTTTTTGAGGCGTTAACATTTACAATCCATTTCTTGCCCCCAGTTAACTGATTGGATACCATTTTCAAGAGCAGCTGCCCGTTTTACTTTGTTGGACATATCAGACTACACTGGGGTGACACATTGTCACACTCATATAAATTGAACACGAGATTTTCGGGAGTGACACGAGCTGTCAACATAGTCCCAGAAGGGGCGCACCCGATGACAATGGTAGAAAGCGTTTCCTCTAAGCCAAGGTCACACCGATGACAGTCCCATCTAAAGGCTACGTCATTGAGAGGTAACCTATTCCGAACCAATCACCAGGTAAGCGAAAACTCAGGCAATACTGATCTGATCTGAGTACATAATAATATAATAATAATAAGAAGAAGAAGAAGAAGAAGAAGAAGAATGTGCATAATTTTGTCATTTCAGAAATATAGACAGATACTGAAATAAATAATAATAAAAAACAAAATGATTGACGTAACTCAGCTGCAGCACCAGCCCTGGTATGGCAGCAATGCTGATCTGATTTGAGTCTTGTAATGACAGAGCATGACAGCGGGTGTTTTTTTACCTGCTCCCGTTTGAATTATTTTTATCTTGCCTAGACATCCTTCCGGCCATATCGCGTTTAAACACCGGTTCTCATCTGATCTCCGAAGTTAAGCAACATTGAACTAAGTCAGTAATCAGGTGACTGCTGTGGACAATTCATATCAATTGGTTGGCAGCTTTCTTTTTTGAAATCTTTTATGACAATGTCTTGACTATTTGCATATTATTATTATTATTATTATTATTCAGTATCTGTCTATATTTCTGAGATGAGGTATTATGTACACTATTTACATTATTCGGACTATTGTCATCATCTTTGTCGCCATATGTATTACAGCGTTTCGGCCGTCTTCAGGTCAATGTCGCTCACTGGGAGACGTGCCATGATTTTAATGGATGTCAGTTATCAGTTATCTCCTGTTAATTCCCCTCTCCAAGTTCTCCACTGCCTTAACCGGGTATTGAACTCACACTCTTTGGGTGCTGTCACTGGATCTAACTAACGCCTTTACCCACTTGTCCTTTAGGATACCTGTATATGAATTTCTTGGTATCATAAACCTAATGTCTTCAGCAACCATTTTTTACCTGTGCTCATATTGCAATTTTTGCTGTTATCATTGCATGTTTCTTATTATTATTATCATCATCATCATTATTATTTGTATATTACTATTACAATTATTATCA